CTGAAACCCCTTGGCAACCAAGCGGCTCTTGAACCGCTCCAACGCACCATCAGCTCCACTCTTCACCTTGAAGACCCACTTGCTGCTGATCGGCCGTCGCCCCTCGGGTAACTCAACAAGCTCCCAAGTCCCATTCTCAATGAGACTGTTAAACTCCGCATCCATGGCAGCCTTCCACTCCTCCTTCTGGGGTCCACTGAGTGCCTCCTCCACTGTGGCTGGTTCTCCAGGCAAGGGTGTGAAGAAACAGAAGGCCATCTCCTCATCCTCTCCCTCATCCGCCTGAACCGCCATGGCACCTTGCTTGGGTCCTCCCAAACGGCTATACTTCAGCCTTGAGGGTGCTGCTGCCACTCTCTTCTCGCGGATTGCAATCTGCTGCCCATGTGGTGAAGCTCCTCTCTGCACACTCCTCTTGGTGACCTTGGCGGTTGCAGCAGGCTCGGGCTGAGATGGTGAGTCCACACGTGCCGACTCATCCTCCAACCCCTCCTCTGCAGCAGGACCAGAAACTTGCTGCTCTCCACTGCCACTGTGGTCACTGGTCAGCTCTGACCCAGGGAGATCCTCAAGGTGCAGCTGAACCTCCTCCACTGCAGACCGCTCAATCTCCTGCAGACGCAAGCCAATCTGCACCTGCTGCTGCTGCTGCCAGTCCTTGTACATGACGTCCTCCACAAACTTGACGTCACGACTGACCAGCGTCCTCTTGCTCTTGGGGTCCCACATCAACCACCCTTTCGAGTCAGGAGCCATCCCAAGATGGACAGCCCACACAGCAGCAACTTCCAGCTTGTGCCTCTGCTCCTTAGGCACCATCACAAGCCCCATGCAGCCCCACACCCGCAGCATGTCAATGGATGGCTTCTTCCCAAGCCAACGTTCGTACGGCACCCAATGCTTGTCGCCAACATGTGTCAAGACCCTGTTCTTGACCGTGATGACATGGCGAACAGCTTCAGGCCAGAACTTGTAGGGCATCCCAGCAGCCCCCAACAAGGTCTTAGCCGCCTCGCCAATGGTCCGGTTGGCACGCTCAGCAATGCCGTTCTGCTGCGGTGTTCCTGGGCAGGTCAGCTGGTGTCGAATGCCGTTCTTCTTGAGAAACTTGGTGAATTCCGCTCCAAGGAACTCTCCACCTCGGTCACTCCTCAGCACCTTCACCAGCCGCATCGCTTGCCGCTCCACCATCGGCAACCAATCCTCCTTGATCGCCGATGCAGCATCGCTCTTCTTGGACAAGGGACGTGCCCACGTGAAACGGCTCCATTCGTCCACCATGGTGAGGAAGTACAGCACTCCCCCAGTCCCCTCAGTCCTCATAGGACCCACCAGGTCCATGTGCACCACCTCCAAGGGTGCCTTCGCCAATCCCTCCGCACGTGGAAACGGGAACCGCGCAAACTTGTTTTGCATGCACGCCTCGCAGCTGCCATAGTGAGCGCCATCTCTTTGCAGTTGCAGCCCATGCACACACTTCTCCTTGTGCATCACCTCCAATGTGGAAACAGCCACGTGTGCGAGCCGCCGATGCCAAATCTCCCAATCCGCTTGGCCCGAGGTAGCCGACGCCTTCACCGCCGCGCTTCCTCCAATCAGCTCCTCTCCTTGCACACCTTGCTGCTCCTCCTCGGTGACACTCTCCTCCATAGATGCCGCCGCTGCCGCCTTGCCCGATTTCCGCCAAGGGAGTACCGGGATCTGCCACATCCGCTTGTGGACATCCCCTTTCCACTGCAGGTCCCAAATCAGCCGCTCATCGTTGTAGGCACGATAGCGCTCCGAGCCAATCGTCTCGGTGTTCACACCCGCATCTCCCAACCGGCCGGTAGAAATCAGGTTCGCGCACAAGTCCGGCACCCACAGCACGTTCTTCATGTTGAGAAACAGCAGTTGAAAGTTAGAAATGAGAAAGAGGGGGTTTTCACTAGCAAGCAGTTGAGTACATATAGCAAACCCTAAATTGGGCTGTACTCACTATTGAGTACCCCACTGCAGGCTAGACAAAACATAACATTCTGACACTTCAGCCCCACGAGCTCTCCATCCGCTCCCATGAACTTGGCGCATCCCATGCCCATGACCTTGGCCTTGGTGCCCGTCGCGGATGTGACTGTAGAGATGGGTGCGGGCTGAATCTCATCGAGTAGGTCCGCGCGAGGAGTCATGTGCCAAGAGCTCCCGGAATCTATCACCCAATAGGTGAGGGGATGTAGGAGAACCTTGGCAGCCATAGCAAGGTCGGTTGCGCCTTCGTTCACGAAGAAGAAGAACCCGGCCTTCCGCTCCTCAGATTTGCCGCCTTTCTCCTCATCCTTCTCCTTTCCACTAGCTTCCATGACCCCCCCACTCCTCTTGCCACCATGCAGGTTGCTCGATGAAGGCGGAGTCCAATCCTTGGGTCGTTGGTAGCACTTCCGCCAACGATGTCCGCGCTTCTTGCAGTAGAAGCACACCTCCCCTTGACCCCCGCCGCCATCCTCCTTAGGGTAGTCCTTGTTCTTGCCCTTCCACTTCTTCTTGAAGCCACTCTTTCCACCTCCAACTCCATAGCCAGCCCCCTCCTCCGAGTGCTCCACACTCCGCCGCTGCAAGTCCTCCTCAAGGATGCACGCGCGAATGTAAACCACGCTCCACTGGGGCTGTTGAGAGTTGAGGTTGATCGCTAGGGCAGACCACGACTCCGGCAGCCGTATCACGATCTCCACACATTGCACGAGCTCTGGGTACACCACACCGCCACCTTGGAGCTTCGTGAAGATGTCCCGCATCTCATCCAACACCGGTTGCATCGGCTCTCCATCAACGAACTTGATGTCGCGCAGCCGCCGCGCGAGTAGCACGATGCCGGTAGCATGTGTCGGTGAGTGCACATCCAGAAGCTTCTTCCAAGCCTTGGGGCCACACTCTGGATCACCTAAGAGGTCCTTGATGTGGTCAAGTTGTCGTCCGCCAACCGCTTGCACCATGAGCATGTACGCGTCGAACGATCGCTTCATCCATGCTCCTTTCAGCTCCGCGGACTCCGGCATCTTCTCCTTCCCCTCCACCAGATCCAATAGCTTGTATTGGGTATACATCAGCCTCATGCGGAAACTCCAGTGCTCGTAGTCCCCCCCCATGAATTTCTCAATAGAGAAAGCTTTCACAGGATCCACGGTAGTAGGAGATGGTGTAGAAGAAGTAGGTAGCGTAGGGTTGGCTGGTTGGTGAGTCCCCACTCCACCACCAGCAACTCCCCCCTGCTCTCCAGCCTCTCTAGCTCCAGCCATCTCGCCATTAGCACCTCTAGAGTCCGTTCCAGTCTTATTGAGGCCTTATGAACGGTGGAAACTTGAGAAATCGTTTGGAGAGAATTCTGCCAGAAGTTTTGATTCTACGAAAAACGCCGTCGCGGACTGGATTCTTCGAATTAGAACGCGGTTTGACCACCAATCGAAATTTCGCAAGCACAGCTACTAGAAACTGGTCTCACTTGTCAACATTGGTTAAGAAGTCACGACGATTCGTCGTCTCAAAGTCGACTACCCGCTCTGATACCACTTGTTGTTCAGGATCCGTCACTTTGAGAGCTTACGACGAACTCAATTCTCAACTAAACGCAAATCCGCTTGGTAGGATTGTGCGCCTTATCCTAAGCTACCATCTCCAAGTTGAATCAGTCGTTAAGATAGTCTATAAAGTGAGAACCAAGTAAAAACGTCCAGCAGCCGCATAACTAGAATAGTAGAGGAAGTACAAACATTAAGGCATAGAATGTTGGAGTTGGGGACTCCAAGAGAACCATGAGAGGGAAGGGGTTCTCCAAGAGCTAGGGAAAGATGGTAGGAACCTTCCTAGCAGCAAGGATGCTACCCTCATCATGAGGTCCTTGAGGTGTCACATGCAAAATCCAATCTAGTTGGATTTTGCCTAGGTGTTGCAACATTTGCAACCCATGCTAGAAACTTCTAGCCACCCCAATCCAAAAGTCAAAGTTGCCTTCCCTAACCACCCAACCAAAGATCCCTTTATAGTCATGTCCCAAGGAATCACCCAAATTAGATATAACCTTAAAAGGTAATAAGAAATCCAAGTCTTGGAAATCTTGTAACTTGGGTGATCTTGGTCAGAATAAGGCGATCTTGGTATCGTTGGAAAGCTCTGGATTTCTCCTGCATGATCAAGCATTTAAACTTGGAGAAAAAACAGAGATGGTAAAATCCAACAGCCATGAATAATGACAAATGCTCATGCAAACAATACACGCATGAATAGCACGAGCACTCGGCAGGACGTTAGGATGACATGCACTCAGAATGACGTGCATCCAACAGCATCAGTGAAGGTATATTTTTTACCTTGATTGTAATGTAGGCAGCTCAGTATCGTCAGAATGTATTTGCTGTTTAGCCTGCAGTGGGGTACTCTGTAGTGAGTACAACCCAATTTAGGATTTGCTATTTGTATCCCAACTCTTGCTCGGCCCCTTGGCCCCGTCGCCCCTAGCTGTGCCCCTCGGCCCCGCTGGCCCCGTCGACTCCGTCGCCCCGCGCCCGACCCAGTACCTCGCCCAGCGCCCGGCCCGTACCTAGCCCGCGCCCGGCCCGTACTTAGCCCGCGATCGGCCCGTACCTAGCCCGCGCTCGGCCCCGTTCCTAGCCCCACGCTCGGCCCCGTACCTAGCCCGCGCCCGGCCCGTACCTCGCCCGCGCCTGGCCCTGTACCTAGCCCGCGCCCGGCCCGTCCCTCGCCCGCGCCCGGCCCGTACCAAGCCCGCGCCTGGCCCCGTCCTTCGCCCAGCGCCCGGCCCCGTCTCTTGCCCGCGCCCGGCCCCGTAACCAGCTCGCGCCCGGCCCGTACCTAGCCAGCGCCCAGCCCGTACCAAGCCCACGCCTGGCCCTGTACCTCGCCCGCGCCCGGCCACGTACCTAGCCCGCGCCTGGCCCCGTACCTAGCCCAGCGCCCGGCCCCGTACCTAGCCGCGCCCCTCGGCCCCACTGGCCTCGTCGCCCCTAGCTATGGCCCCTCGCGACCTGCAGCCCCTCACCGCGGCCCCGTCGCCTCTCGCCTCGGCCCCTCGCGACCCGTTGCCCCTAGCCGCGGCCCCGGTGCCCTGTCGAGTCATGAAGGGTAAGGGGGTGGCAAGAGGGGGTTCCTCCTGCCCGCGTGCCCTGCAGTCGCACGCGCAGCTCCGCCCCCGCCCCCCTCCCCCCCTTCCACCCCCTTCGTGGGGACGGGGGGGAGAGGGTGTGAGGGGGTGGCGGATGTGGGAGGCAGGAGGGGATCTGCAGTACCAGCCCCCTCTGCCCCCCCCCTTCTCCTCCATCTCTCTGCTGCGGGTGCAGCAGTTGGGGGGAGGGTATGGGGGTGGCGGGTGTGGCGCACATCGGGTTCATGCCCGTCGCGCATCCTGCTGTCACCCGAGTGGCTCCTGCACCGCCCCCCCCTGCCCCCCCTTTCTCCTCCATCCCCCTGCTGCGGGTGCGGTAGTGGGGGGGAGGGGATCTGCAGCACCAGCCCCCCCCGCCCCCCCCCCCCCCCCCCTCCCTTCTCCTTCCTCCCCCTGCTGCGGGTGCAGCAGTGGGGGGGAGGGGATCTGCAGCACCAGCCCCCTCCGCCCCCCCTTCTCCTCCATCTCTCTGCTGCGGGTGCAGCAGTGGGAGGGAGGGTATGGGGGTGGCGGGTGTGGCGCGTCCTGCTGTCGCCCGAGCGGCTCCTGCACCGCCCCCCCCCTGCCCCCCCCCCTTTCTCCTCCATCCCTCTGCTGCGGGTGCAGAAGAGGGGGGGAGGGGATCTGCAGCACCGACCCTCCCCCCCCCCCCCCTCATCCTTCTCCTACCTCCCCCTGCTGCGGGTGCGGCAGTGGGGGGGAGGGGATCTGCAGCACCAGCCCCCCCCCTCCCCCTGCTGTGGGTGCAGCAGTGGGGGGGAGGGGATCTGCAGCACCAGCCCCCCCCCCGCCCCCGCCCCCCCCCCCCTTCTCCTCCATCCCCTGCTGCAGGTGCAGCAGTGGGGGAGGGTATGGGGGTGGCGGGTGTGTGAACCGTCCCCTGCTCCTCCTCCTCCTCCGTCTCCCACTACTGCAGCTGCCGCTGAGGGGGGTGGGTGTGTGGGAGCCGAGATAGTGGTGCTAGGGGGGTGACGTGGGAGTGGAGCTAGGGGTGCAGCAAGGGGTGTGTGAAAGGGGGGTGGGACAGTTGGGGGAGGTTGAGCGGAGGCTGCCGTCTTGTCGTCCGCAGCACCTGTAGTCTAGGGCTCGGCTTCTGGTAGCTCAGAGAGCCTGCTGCGCCTGTCGCATGTGGGTCCGTTGCTCCTGCCGCTCAGAATTAGCCGCAGAGCCAGTTACTCCTGTAGTCCGGGGAAACGGCTCCGGTAGCCACAGTGCGTGCCGCTCCTGTTGCCCGTGTGTCTGCAGCATCAGCCGTCGCCTCCTATCTCCTCTCCTCTCACAGTCCAACCTCCTCCTCCTCACTTGCCCTTTGTGAATGCCTCTAGCTTTGCTTGTACTTGTGAACCTGCTCTATGACTGCTTGCTCTGCTGATTATACCCCACTTTGACTATGGGGATGTGTCAGAATGTATTTGCTGTTTAGCTTGCAGTGGGGTACTCTGTAGTGAGTACAACCCAATTTAGGGTTTGCTATTTGTATCCCAACTCTTGCTAGTGAAATCACTTTTCCTCATTTTCTCCTTCTCGACTTTTCTCTCGATACTCAACTCTCTCGACATCCATGCTAGCTCCTATCCGCCCTAGCCATGGTTCCTAAGTCAAGCTAGATTCTAACAAGTATGTGCTGGCAGCAACCAAGCTCGAGGCCCAAATTGTGCGCTGGTGGGTGGGGGTTGTGAACTCAAAAGTTGAGTGCAGTGGCTTGTCTGGTTTCGCTGCAACACTTGTTTTTTCGCCGAGTCAGCAAGCTTCCCGGGGGGAACGTGGGTTTGGGGACCTCGAGTCCCAAATTTCCGAGTCAAGAAACCCTAAACCCCAAGTTTTTTGCAGTGAGTGCAGATTTGACCAATCAGGTTGCATCGCCTCTACAGTAGGTTGCAAGCAGACATGGAGTGACGCGGTGTCGATTGTCAGTACTCACGTGCTGGCGTCGTAGTGCATCATTACGAAATTGAGTGTACCGTTACAAAAAATCTAGGAAACTTTGTCTCGATAAGTAGAGTTTCGAGGGGGGGGTTCCCTGTACGCTCTTCAGGGTAATCTTCGCTAAGGGAAATTTTACCCCAGAGCATCAGTGTGGCCTAAATCGTTTCACTGTCAAATCATTGTAACACTAATCCCCCAAAAAATTACCCAAACACATCAGTGCAGGCCCTAAATTTCACCCTTCTTATCAGTATAGCAGTGCGATTTACACTGATAAAATAGGCCCTGCCCTTCACCTCGCTCGGCTCATTGCCTGCGCGTCCAATCAGAATGAGCTGTAAGTTGACTGATTCTGACTGTGTGTGTTGGCAGGGAATCATTCCATGCCAACTGGCACGAGATTCTCAATTCCAGCCCTGTAAAGTTTCGACCCGATTTCAAATTGCAAGAACGTGATCTACAATTTGGTGTAAGAAACACGCATTTCATAAATGTCATTATATAAGCACCGGCACTTCTGAAAATTCTTGATTTTAAGCGCACCCCCTAAAAAACAGTGTTTTTTTATACCCCCACGGGCCCTTCTATCAGGGGGCTGATGGGTATCTTGCAAAATATATAGAACGAAATAGAATCACAAAGGCAAGTAGGTAGAAAATAGTCTAACCTACCCGTCATCGCCCGGATATAAGACAGTGTCGAATTGAAGACAGAGGGTGTCTTTAAAACGAATGTAGCTTATAGATGGGTGTCCCTGATTATAAGACACCTGTCGGTGTGTACGGGTTAAGCCTGTATAGGGGTTAGGGGTGATCTTATGACGAGGGGGTATCTTCTAAACGCTTCTTTGTCCATTTATAAGAATTATAAGACACGCTAAACTGTCCCAAATACAAGACACAACAAGATTTTTTTCTAATGTGTAAGAAAAGAAATATATGTCTTCTATCCGGGCGATGATGGTAGAGAAGTAACTGTCAGAATACTGAACGAGAATGGATGCATTGAGCAGAGAGTTGGGTACAAGTACTAACCCTAATTGGGTTGAACCCCTTATGGGCTACCCCACTACAGCCTACACATAGGTAAGCACTATAACATTTTGACACACCCCCATAGGCAAAGTGGGGGAGAACAAGTGGTCACAAGAACAGTCAAGAAAAGCAAAGCAAGCTCAGGGTGGATCACAAAGTCACCACACATTCTGAGCACAAGCAAATGGCAACAAGGCCAGTTCACATGCAGAGTTATATAAAAGAGAACAAACAGTACAGTGATCATACCCTAGCAAGTGTAAGCATGCAAGAATATATATAGATCATACTACAAGCAAAGTCACGCAATGAGCAAGTGAGGCAAAGTAGGCACAGGGCCTAAAACAGTACAGATTCGCTGATGATCACCAGACTGAAGTGCCTTGGTGAATATATCAGCAGTGTTGGCCCGAATGGCCACGTAAGAAGGACGAAGCTGACCACGCTGCTGCAGCTCTCAAGCAAGGAAGTAACGCAGAGCGATGTGCTTCGTTCTGTGCTCCAGTCTGTGCTCCTAACACAAGGCAATCATGGCCTTGTTGTCTACGTACAGAACTGGAGAAGAACGAGGCCACTCTCCCAAGTCGGTCAGCAGGTAGGTGAGCCAGCGTAACTCCCGTGCAGCCATGGCCCTTGCATAGATCTCAGCCTCACAACTAGAACTGAGAACAGAAGACGAGCGGCTATACCGCCAAGAAACAGAGCCGGAGCCAAGGCTGAAAGTGTAACCCTGTGACGACCGCTGCGTAGCCAAGTCGTCAACTCAAGAAGCGTCTGCGTGTCCAGTGAGGACAAGTGGACCCTGTCCTCCAAGCACGAGCCCCATGCCCGATGTACTGCACAAGTAGCGCAACACCCTCTTAGCGGCCTCCCAGTGCTCTGGTCGGTGTCTCCCGGGCGCAACGTAGCGTGCCAGGATGCTAAGAGGGTAGGCAAGTTCAGGTCGAGTGCAGGTCATCAGGCACATGAGGCAGACCACAAGATCTGGATACGGGCCACTCGTCTCTACGGACTCGTCCGAAGGTGGAGCTGAGAGCGAGTGACCGGTAGGCAGAGGAGTGGACTGTGGCGAGGAGTACCGGAAGCCGAAGCGCTGAAGGACCTGGTGCACCATGTGTGACTGAGTCAGGGTGATGGTGCGCCGTGCTCTATCCTGGGTGATCTGCAAGCCAAGATAGCTGCGCAGCTCACCCAGGTTAGTGCAGGTGTGTCTCTTCTGCAGCTTTAACTTCACAAGGGCCAGTGCCTCAATGTCAGCAGTGGCAAAGACCAAGTCGTCGACGTAGACGAGGACATAGAACGGCGGCAGCGAAGTGTCGGTGCGCAGAAACCGCGACGGGTCAGCAGTCGAAGGAGCAAACCCAAGAGCCGCAAGCGTCGTCCTCAGTGTGTCGTGCCACTCGCGATGCGCCTGGCGGAGACCGTTGACTGGCCGCCGGAGGCTCCATTGGGTACCTGCGGGAAACGACCCATTGACGCCAGGTAGGCGGCGCAGCCAGATCTCCTCGTGCAGGCTGCCTTGTAAGAAACCTGTGCTGAAGTCAAGAGAGTGCAGCTCGTAGTCACGCTGAGTGGCAATGTGCAGCAGAACCCGAAGAGTGGTCATCTTCGGGGTAGGGGAGAAGGTATGGAAGAAGTCAACTCCCTGTCGCTGATTGAAGCCTTGTGTAACATAACGAGCCTTGAAGACAGGCGGAGAACCCGGCGGCCGCTTCACCCTGAAAATCCACATGCCATCGACTATGTTCGCCCCAGAAGGGGGAACTGCGTCGACGTAGGTGCCTGTGGACTTCTAGGATGCCATCTTTGCGTCCATGGCTGTCTGCCACTGAGAGGAGTAGGGACCCGTAATCGCCTCTGCGTAAGAGCGCGGGGTCGGGATGTCTGGTGCATCCGGGTCTCCCTCAGGTGCAAGCAGCATGGCCACGAGATGAGGTACAGTAGCTGCAAGACACTCAAAGTCCTCCTGCTTGTCCTCAAGGACGTCCGTGCCAAGAGCACACTCACCCCCGATGGAAGGAGGACAGTCAGACTCAGAATCAGCAACAAGACCAGCGGCATAGTCGAGACGACAGGCAGCAGCAGAGTCAACAAGCTCAGCAACCAGGGCAGACGCAGCAGTGGACTCAAACGAAGGGTCAGTGACAACAGAGGCTAGAAGACGAGGGACAGTAGGACTGACTGCATGAGCTAAGTCAGACTCAGGGTCTGGAACGGCAGGAAGAGAGGACGCAGGAGGAGGCGACAGGGGAACTCGTAGTGGAACAGAGGAAGGACGAAGTGCCATAATGTGAGTGCCGGGGACAGGAGGAGGATGCGGACAAGGAACACGAAGACCTGTGCGAACAGAGCGAGTCAGG